GACTAGAGTGCAGTCACGCCTCCGCCCTCGACCTTGAAAAGACCACCAGTGAAAGAGCCAGCAAATCGTCTAGAGGGTGGCTTGAAAATTCACAAAATGGTCCATGTTCCTAACAGTAACAATAAGAAGAATGGTGCCCTGAGAAAGTGTCGCGTGAGTGCTAATTACAAGGTTCGAAAAGAAACAAGTATCATGTGTGCAGGCTGTGGTGTGGCTCTCTGCAAACTTTCATGTTTCAATGTTTATCACACGAAGAAAAACAAATAAAGAGGTGTGGAAAAGCATTTATTGCATAAAATATTGTATTTTAATTAGTTCCTAAAAATTTCGTTTTTAAAAACCAATTTTTGTTGAAGTTGTTTAGGAAAAAGTAACAACATGCATTTTAGCGACATAAGGTTTAAAGGGCCTGCCAGGACAGGGGTGGGATTTAAATACCCTTCGCGCCAGTCAAAGAGTTAAGAGGCATATTTTACATCTCTGTCACAAAATGTTACCTTACTGGCCCATTTTAAGGCTACACTCTTTCCACAGAATTTTGTACTTAAAACACCATAACATGCTGCATAACAACTTTAATATATAGTAAACTTGCACTTCCCAGACAGCTACTGTTGCAGTATTGTGCGATAAATACTTCTAGCATACTAAACAAACTGTGTTGGTTGCTATTTTAAAAAATCCATGATAAATTTAGAGACAGTCAAATCCCCGTATTTACTCACATAATATACACACACCTACTTCTGGACAGCTGTATCTTACCCCCAACCTTTTGACAGAAATTCTCCGTTAAGTACAGAATATATGTAATTAATGGCATAAGCTATGTCTTTGCCAATTGCCTGTGCCTGATTTACAGATCATGCATTTGAACAGACACATAGTGATGCTTCTGAAATAAAACACTCAAGTGTGTCTTCCTAATAAGCTTGCAAAATACATATTCATGGACAGGCAGCCAGACACAGACAGTTATGTCAGTAGAGACAGGAAGAGGGCATGAGCCACACAATATGGATGAACTTACAGTTGGTGCTGTACAACCATTTCCTGAAGTATAAGCAACTCCTAAACTATAATCACAATAAGAACTAGGTTCTCAATCACCTTCTTAGATCTCATAACCTTTTTTTTTTTTTGTAACTCAAAACATTGGCGAGCAACTCCTATGATTTACTTTAATCCTACATTGGAAATGTCATATTCATCTATTAAATGTGACAGAATAGTGAAGTGTTTTATCTGTCAAAAGTATTCTGAAATAAAAAAGTACAACTTACTGCAGTACTATATTCTGCACTATAACAATGCTTCTATATTAAAACTGCAGAGATATATGAGCCTGTAAATTTGGCTAAGGAATATAATTGTTTGTTAATTTGGTTAATTAACCAAAATTCATGTATTAATAAAATATTAAACACGAATAGGTCTTGAATCTTCAAGACGGAGTTCTGAAAAAAAAATTTCTCAATCTTCATTGGAATGTTCATTTTTCAGCCTTGGACCATGAGAATGTTCTATTAACTGCTTTTCTTTGCACTCTGGTATTAATGACATAACATAACAATGGGCACTTTATCAGTAGATTTATTTTACTGTCTACCCTACGCATACTTATGAAATCCACACACAACAGACTGGCAAGTACTTACACCTTGCATAGCTCCTTTTTCAATTTCTCTCGTTTACGGACCAATTCACAAAGCAGTCGAGCTCGTTCCAAGTCTTGACGCAGACACTGCCAGTATTTCAGCTGTCTGTATAGTTCACCCTGTGCAGAACAATTGGTCCACATGGTAATTAGTGTTACGTGCATAAGTTATATAACTGTCCTTGCAATACCTGCTGCTAGTGCAGTATGAAAATTAAACAGGCAAATGAGCAACAAACAAACAAGCAAAATCTTTTTAAAAAGACTATCTGAATGCAATCAGAATATCAATTTTAAATGAAATCAGAACGTAACCCTATAATAAGAGCAAAATTTATTTTTGAAGCATAACTAATATCTTAACTTTAGATGACAAAGCAAGCACATAAGCAACATTAAATATAGGACACTCTGAAAACCCACAAAACATAATAATTTTGTTTCTCTGGCATGGTTACAAATAAATCTTAAATTTAGGCATATGCTACTGATGCATAAACCATTACTCACAAAATATTCACCACGTTCAACAAATATAAAGCTAGTATAGTAAAGGCATTTTGTCATATTTACTTTAACAAAATGATGCTGAACACTACTGTCATATATGTGCCCATGAACAACACAATGAGAATACGATGAGCCATTTTTGAGTCTCAGAATGATTTCTGAAGCCCACCTTTTGACTGGGAGAACAAGGTCGGAAATAAAGTCACTGTTTATACTTTTATTACTTTCATAACTTTCATTCCTAAAACCTGTATAGTTAGTCTCCATTCTGGTCCCTAAAAGTATATGAGGAGAGTAACGGGAATACAAAGAACTGTTTTAGGCACGTAAATATAAATGTAAAGACGGCTGTCTATCAAAAGATTACTAATGATTTCACATATCACTACCATAATATAAGAAATAAAGTACAATATACCATGAATTTATATAGGATATCACTCTTTGTAATTGGACAAATAAACTACAAAGAACTGACTACTCTATGGAACTTAATTACACTCTCAACATAATAAATTAAAGTCACTTTGTGACCTCAGAGATTTTCAAAACTATATATTTTTATTATTACACTACATATAACATCTGTATCACTTCTAAAAAACGAAGTTGGCTCAGGCAGTAGCTTCTGATTTGTATTTCAGAAGTGCCCAGTTTGAATCATAGTCAGGACACAAACTATCATGATTGAGGGGTTTCGTGGTTTTCCTCAGTTCCTCCACAAAATGTTGGGATAGTATCTTACACCAGCCATGACCCCTTCCTTACACATTTTTCAAATTTGTTATTCATTATTCATCCTACCATTCAACACTATATAGTCTGAGCTACTTGCAGCATCATATAAACCATAATTACAAAACAGACATCTGAAGGCACAATAGTTCTTATGTAAGACAACAAAGAACACACACAGATTCAAAGCAAGTCTTCATTCACTTCCTCTCATTTCTACAATCCCAGCAAAAATATCTGTACTGTATGTGTGTGGGTCATTTCACAGGATGAACTGTATTCATCCCGGTCTTCATACATTCACTTCATCAAATTAATTTTTAATAAGGTTTCCTTATATAAAATATAAACATATGAATTGTACCAACATAGCAAGTATTAATTTAATACCCTTCAAGTGACATACAAGTTAATTGCTCACATGCTCTCAAAATTCAAAGACTCATCTTCTGCATTAAATAATGAGGCAATATGATAATTCAGAATAATAATTTTCTGATCTACTTTCATCTTTTGTCATTCTCATATGAAACATGTTAGACTGTTCTTGGACTAAAATAACACATTTCCGTTAATGAATGTTTACAATTTCAGTGTGTATACATCTGCACTGAAAGTCAGTGCTATATTATGAACTTGATTCACAGCTACAAAGCGGTCAGCCTTGCTGCCCAGTATGGAGCTGTGGTAATACTTGTGAAAGAAATTCTTTGGATGCAAAAAAGGTATTTCTGAACAGTTCTCAGGAGAATATCTAGGTCTAAGATTGAGGCAGTAATTGGAGGTTGTAAAAAAATTGCATAATGAGAAGCTTCATAGTTTGTACACTTCACCAAATGTTAAGAGGACCAAATTTAGGATGGTCAGGGCATGTACCTCAAATGAGAGAGATGTAAAATGCACAGAACAGTTTAGTTTGAAAACCTGAAGGTAGCTGACTAGTTGGGAGTCACAAGCATAGACTGGAGACAGAGGGAATATTAAAATGGATCTTGGAGAAATAGAGTGTAATGCTGTGGATGAGATTCATTGGGCTATGATTCGGGACTAGTAGTGTGATCTTATGAACACATTCAGGTTCCATAAAATGCAAACATTTCTTGGCTAGTGAAACAACTATTAGTTTCCCATGAAGAACTTTGTTCCATTGCTTACTTGGTTGAAAAAGTGCATAAGAAATTTCATATATCAAAGACAAAGTGCTGATCTAAGTTTTACTATACAAATTTTGTTTTAAAGCAATATCATTTTTAATGGACTCCTAATGTGATACCAGAACATTAAAAAATATTATCTCTTACTTATATTTCAAATTACTGAACAGTCATGTCCCCTTTATTTTGCCATCTGTTTACCTTCTAAGCAGAAGAACATAAAAGAAAAATATACAATAACACTATACATGATGTCTTTGTGTTTGTGTGCATGTAGCAACTTACAGTATCACTCACCACCTCCTGTAACGGGCGAGGGTCATCACGACGGGCTAAATGAGAGCTCTGTAGTCGTCTCAGAAGAGGAACACCATTCCTGAACTGCCTCTTCAGGGTCCAGTAGGCAATGAGTCTTTGGATCAACTGGCTCTTCTTCGGTACATTCACTAATGATGCTATTTCTTGAATTCTGCATATACATTTTACAAATTTAAGAAATACAGAAATTATGTTTTTCCAAAATATAGGTCTAACAATGCTCGCTCCAAGTTGTGTGTTTGCCTGTTTACAAAATCTCAACAGATAATACATATGTACGTGGTGGATGATGAGGTTCTCACAGCAGTGAAAAGGACGTGACACTAAAGATGGAGGCTGCAGGTTCATCCAAAATTATTGGTAATGATCTAACAGACTATATGGCCTCACATCTTGGAAGACAGTAATCTTAATATATATGTATGTCTGCTGTTACTGACCATTTTCAGTGAATGGACATACCAGAAACAACACTAAAGTACAATTAATTACATACTTAACTTCAGTATGCCAGAGATGGGCAAGATTTTAGGAGCTAGTAAAAACATTAAGGAACTAGGCATAATATTGACAAGAATTGTGTTACGTTAAGAACTTCACACTGGTTTTTACAAATGTCAAAATCTCTATCATAAGCACATTATAATGATAATGACAATATGAATCACAGAGCCCCTATACAATGGACAATATCAGCCTTTTCTCTAGGGATAACATGGCAGGAGTGTTAAGCTGACCACTCATCTTCATGTGGTGCCAGGGTATAGAATATCTGAGGCATAATCTTTATATTCCTTACAAGTTTCTTGATACTGAGTTTGAGCATTTGGAAAAACTTCACTTTTTAATCTTCTACCTTTACTTGAAGTTCCCATTACTGTAACGGTCAAATGCCAATATACTGAATCCCTGTGAAGTTCAACAACTGTTTCATTGTAACAAGGATCTCATAGCATGAAAAATGTTTATCAAATCTTGTAAAGGAAAACATGATCTACAAATACAACACCTGTATGAATCTCTTTAACTATTCTGCTCTCTCTGAAAATAAGGGACAATTTTTCAATGAAAACATTGTGTAACAATTGTGTTACCATACAATTTCAGAAGACTAAACAGAGTAATCTCAATCCTAATATGAACATTTTGCTGATATGCTTAGAAAATTATTGAACTTAAACAGAAACACAATAAAAACATGAACAGACTTTTGTGCATGAAATAACAATACACACATATTATTACATAAAATTAGTCTATTATTAGGGAGATTTTATATCTGCAAACACAATACAGTCAAATCTTTGTTTGTTTGTCTGCCTGTTGAAAAAAGGAATTCAAAAATGTAACTCAGGAAACACTTACTTAGAAATAATTTAGCACTGAAATTATTGACTATGAACCATTAAATTCAACCACATATTAAATGGGTGTTCTACTGTATATACAAATTACAGACATGACAGTAACAAGGGACCAAAGAGATAAAATATGTAAATAAACTTAATGTATGTGACAAATACTTGGCTTCAGGACCAGACAATTTCCATACCTGTCAGGTGGTATGGTTGGTATAGAAATTACAGGGACTGATGATCTCTTCTTAGCAAGTAATCTTCGAGCCTTCTTCATTTTTTGGCGGGATTCTTCACGTGCAGTTTCCCCTGCACCTCCAGTTCCACTTGGAGTTGTACCTTGCTTGCTAGCAGAAGGTGCACTTCCTCTGGGTCGTGAATCAGGGTCTACAAGGCCACCAGGTGTGTGGGCATCACAATATGCTGTTTTCTGGACCAGTACTGATCCTGGATCAAGACCAGTGCCTGAAAATTATAGAGTACGTTCATTTCAGAAATGGACAAGGGTTACCAAATTCACCAGAATTTTAGGAGCCATATAAAATGTTACAGACCACATAGCTTAACCTTTAACGGACGAATGTCACAAATGAATGACAGAGGCAGCAACCCGAGTTGGCCTAATGTCACTGATTTATGACACAGGACACGTGCACTCTTTGTCAGTGCTGACGGTTTTATGTTGGGTTTGAAACCAAAACAAACCCACGCAGGGTCATGTCAGAGGTTCATTCCTTAGCTCTGAACATAGAAATCGTTTATCACGGTACTGGCTTCGATAATATTTACGTTCATATATGAGTGTTCGTGGCCTGGGCTGCCAAATATAGCCCAGCTTTGTTCTGAGAACTGAAGGGGAAATATTCGTCAGAGCTTGCAGATCAGTGCTTCAAGAACTTTCAAGAAAGTGTGAAGTATTCAAGGAATCTTTTTCAGTGGTGAAATATCAGTTTGGAAGTCAGTGTTGGATTGTGTAATATTTCTTTTTCACGTAAAAAGGTGAGTGTCAGACTATCATATATTTGTAAGTTTTGAAGTTTTCACGGCGATGACTATGAAGAAAGTCGTCTTCTGGGATATGACGCCGTGTATTCGTGGTTTTTACCGACGTTTCGGAGGAACGTATCGCCTCCATCTTCAGGGCAGATGGATCGTGTTGCGAATATAGAAGCAGTAGCATCTGTATTCGCAACACGATTCATCTGCCCTGAAGATTGAGGTGATACGTTCCTCCGAAACGTCTGTAAAAACCACGAATACACGGCGTCATATCCCAGAAGACGACTTTCTTCATATCATATATTTCTTTGTATATTATTTTTATTTTGTGTCTCGGAAGAGGTATAAACCCACTGAGCCAGTATTACTTTGTGAGTAAAGGGCATCTTCGTCACTGTGACTTTCGGTATCAGTGTCGGACTGGCACTCTTTTCGACTACTATTACAGTCATTATTTTTTATTGCTAGTGGGGTGGGACTAAGTCCCTTGTACTGCTGCCACTTCTAGCCTATTGTTCCATACTATTACAGTTACTTTGCATCACTATTTTGTGAGTCTTTGTCAGTCAACATAATTTATTCGATTTTCC